ATTGTTAACTACTACTCATCAATCGGACGAAAACAATTGCAATGATGACAACATCATTTTATCTGATAGTGTAAAAATTCTTCCTGATGATGTGGTGGCATTACCTTATCGTCCGGTACGACGGGGTTACCAAAAGGAGTGATGCTAACACATAAAGGACTTGTTACAAGTGTGGCACAACAAGTTGATGGTGAAAACCCTAATCTTTATTTCCATAGTGAAGATGTGATCATGTGTGTTTTGCCATTGTTTCATATTTATTCTCTCAATTCAATTTTGCTTTGTGGATTGAGAGTTGGTGCAACTATTTTGATAATGCAAAAATTTGAGATAAAAGGATTAATGGAGTTAGTGGAAAAATATAAAGTAACAATTGCACCATTTGTGCCACCTATAGTATTGGCTATTGCAAAAAGTCCATTGGTAGATAAATATGATTTGTCATCTATAAGGATGATAATGTCAGGGGCAGCACCAATGGGAAAAGAGCTTGAAGATACTGTTAGAGCTAAATTGCCTAATGCCATACTAGGACAGGTAAAATCCTACAATTTTTTTAATTTCTTTTTATATAATTTTTTTTTTTAAAAAATATTTTATAAGTTTTAATTTCTAGTGTTACAGAAGAATATTTGCACTCAACTATATGTATATAGCCGGCCTAGTGATTGAGATGGACTAAAAGAATTAAGTAATTTCGTTTCATTTGTCTAAGTTTTGATAGACAGATTTTTCTAGTATCTATACTTGAGTTATTAGGTACCTGAATTGAAATAGTTGATGTGTATGCGCGAGAGCCATGGCTCGGACACCATCATCATAAAAAAGTTTTAAGAGAACATAATATTTGTTTATGGTGTAAGAACACAAACAAATAATTAATAATCTAAAAATTAAGGTAAATAATATGCTATAATAAGTTGAAGCACACTTGTGGTATATATATTTGTCCCGTTTCAATTTGTTTGTTTGATTTTAATTTGACATAGAGTTTAAGAAAGTAAGAAAAAGACTTTTGAATCTTGTGATTTAAACTTAAAGATATGTAGAATATATCAAAATATCTTTTAGTTTTCTAGTCTAAAACATATCACGTGGAAAATTAGAATTAAAGAGTTGTCAAAAGGGGAAAGAGCCATTCTTTTTTAAAAAAAGGGACAAAAAAGAAAAGTAAGACAAATAAAGAGTGAGTGTGTGTATATATATATATATTTTATATTAACATTGTATATTAGTTAAGCTTTACAACTAAATAGATCTGGTTTGCGAGGAGAAAACAATGATAGGAGGGCGATCTATTTAACATTCCCATGTACATTCTTTTACATTAATCTATCTCGAAAATAAATGATACATTTTTATATTTAGAGATAGTTTGATTTTACCCTTTTATTTTCCAAGTTATAAATCTCATTTTTATGGATCATTATAATTTTCATTTAGATGACATGATAGTACTACTATTGTCAGTGTATTTTATTACATCAAATGTCAATTTTGAACAAACAAAACGGCATTTATGGCAAAAGACATACATAAAGCTAGAAAAAGACCAAATCATGTGCAATTTGGGCTAAAGTCTTTAAACTAATGTTATGACTTATTGTGATATACACATTAAATTGAATAGGGATATGGCATGACTGAAGCAGGCCCAGTATTATCAATGTGTTTAGCATTTGCAAAACAACGGTTTGATGTCAAATCAGGTTCCTGTGGGACAGTTGTTCGTAACGCCGAGATGAAGATCGTCGATAGCAACACCGGAACATTGCTTCCCCGGAATCATGCCGGAGAAATATGCATTAGAGGTGATCAGATCATGAAAGGTGATATACGCGTTCGCGTTAATTCTAATATTAAGTATATCGATAGAGATCATAGTCAGGCCCAATAATATTAATTGACCCAAATAATACACTTTATTGTTGTGTTTTGATCCAAGTATAATGAGACCTAGAAGTTTTCTGGCCCATTAAAATACAATATATGGGCTTCAACAAATGTTTAGCCCATGTTTATTGGCTCAAATATGAATTGTTTCTTTTCCAACTCCATTTAATGCACAACTCACACAAATCTCACTAGTTTAGGAGCTAATTACTTAGATATACTTTAGTTTATAGTTTTATGTATTTTACTGAATTTTGGTGCCTCCAAATACATGTATCTCAAAATTCAGATACACGAGATCAGATTTAGGTGTAATTTGTTCTAGATACACTACATCCAAATGAATTCGTATATATCTGAGATACATAGCAAATCTCGCTCACCTCTCTCCCATCTCGCTTGCCACTCTCCCAAGTATCTAGTATCCCAGATACATGCAAATCACTCCAGATACATATATCTAGTTTGTATCTAGTGTGATTCGCATGTATCGGGGATACATACGAATTAATCTCGCTCGCCTCCCTCTCCAATCCCGCTCGCCTCTCTCCCTATTTTTGTGTATCTGGTAGCAAAAATACATGTATATAAGTGTAAGATATGTAGGAGACTCTTAATTAGTGGTGAGATACATAATATTATGAAAGTATAGGTAATAATAGTATATATGGTAATGATATATGCCCACTTATGCAGTTTTTCCTTTAATGTATTGATCGAACTTTTATATATTGACAGTGTGTTTCCGCACACTCTCTTTTCTATTTTTGCTGCATATAAGTTTATACTAACCTAAAACAAATTCGAATTTTCGAATATGAATAGGATATTTGAATAATCCAAAAGCAACTGAGGAAACAATAGACAAAGAAGGATGGTTACATACAGGTGACATTGGATACATAGATGATGATGATCAAGTGTTCATAGTCGATAGATTAAAAGAATTAATAAAATACAAAGGATATCAAGTGGCTCCTGCTGAATTAGAAGCTATGCTTATTTCTAATCCAAACATTATTGATGCTGCTGTTGTCCCGTAAGTCGTTACGATAAAATTAGTTTATGAATTTTTATTTTTTTTAAATTTGAATTAATGACATATCCATTTAATTATAGGATGAAAGATGAAGTTGCTGGAGAAGTTCCTATTGCATTTGTAGTGAAAGCAAATGATAGTAATATTACTGAGGAAGAGATTAAACAATATGTATCCCAACAGGTAAATATCATTTTTTATTAGTTCGTTTAAAAAAATATATTTAGAAATAATTTAATCATACGTAATTAATAAAATTATGTTGCGTACAGGTTATATTTTACAAGCGAATAAATCGAGTATTTTTCATAGACGAAATTCCAAAAGCTCCATCAGGGAAAATACTTCGAAAAGATTTAAGAGCTAAGCTTGCAGCAGATTTAGCTAGTTCACTTTTGTTATAGATTTTTTTTTTTAGATATTCTATATGTTTTTTGTTTCTTTTAATTATTTCATGATATATAGGAATTTGTAAAAAAATATGAACCAAATTTATGATATGCTTATAATTGTTTGATTTGTATATTGAACCAACGAAATCACTTTTGGCTATACTGACTATGGTGTTTTTTTTTTTTTGGGATAGCATTCGTCTTCCACTTATCTCCCTCCACTAATGTAATTATTTATTTATGGCTTAATACATAATTAGTTTTTTAAAATTTGTTGTGATATTCACTTAGATACTGAAATTAAGTCTTGTTCCAACTGAACACATCAACTTTTAACACCCTTTCGATTCATGATTCGTCTATTAGATAATTAAATTAAACACATAAAATATGTCATCTTCTTTAAGTATAAGCATTAACATCAAGTAGAAAACGCATGAAATTTTATGGCTAATTGAGGTGAATGTATATAACTAAAGAAAATAACATAGTATTTTATATGGTTAACTTAACTATTTCATAGACATATGAGAATACACAATTTTTAAAATAAAAATACCCTAGCAAATTTATGAAATTGGTTATGTATTAAGTTTTTTTTTTTTTGAAAAGCATATACCTATAGGATATACAATTCACATATTGCATACTTAAGTAAGATACTGTGATTCAACTATATTTACAATTGTATATCACTAAGAATACAAAAAAAAGAAAGTCAATTGAATAAATTTACTATGCATATAACTGTTGCAACATAATTTTTAAAGGGAAAATTATTAGAATATGGACCAGTGAATATCTTATCGAAAATAATCTCATGTGACCTTATAACAAATGAATTCAATTTCTAAAGAAGTATGTCTTACTAGATGTGTTCGTTTGAGGTACACAAATTAAAAACTTAACTCATTTAAAGGTCAAAATATTCAATTTTAATACTATGTTACTCCTTCCATTTTAATTTGCTTTACATATTTTGACTTAACTCGAAATTTAAGAAAATAAAGAAGATTTTTGAATCTTGTGGTATAAAATTAACGGAAAAAGAACAAATATACCCATGAGCTTTCAAAAATGGCATACATATACCCTCAGTTATATTTTGAGGTTGTATATACCCTTACCATCATACTTTTTAGTCATATCCTTGTACCAAACAGAGAGACACGTGACAACATCTTAACAATTTACCCAATTTTGTAGGTAAAAAATAAAATAAAATAGGTTATATTGTTAAGATATCACCACATGTTTCGCCATTTGGTGTAAGGATATATAAGGCTCAAAAGTATGACGATAAGGGTATATACAACCTCAAAAGTATAAATAGAGGGCATATGAATACAATTTTAAAAGTTAGGGGGAGTATATTTGGCCTTTTTTCGTAAAATTAAAAGTATGTGTAATGTACCAAAATGAACTTTAATCTGATGGTTTTAAACATACTATATAAAATGGGAAAAAGGACAAATCTATTCCCAAACTATCGTAAATGATATACAGATACCCACTATTATATTTTTGGTACATTATTGCTTTGGCCGTCCAAAAACTAGAGCATATATTGTTCTTTGTCCTTATAAAATGACATAAAATGGATAATTTTGAATGTTGGAACTAAATTTGGGCCTGATTAATTGGGCCACGTAGAGGCCCAAAAGTAAGAACATATTCTCCAGAAACCCTACTACATAAATCAAATGAACTTAGCCTCAGCTAGTTCAGAGAAGGAAGAACGCTGCAGAGAAGAGACGCCGCCGCAGGAATCCTTAGGGTAATCAAATTCTCGTCTTCGCTTTATGTTTTGCTTATGAGTTTATCAATCTTTTGAGCATTTTTTTTTTTTTAAATCATACTTTTTGAGCTAAAGGAAAAGATACAAGGCTTAGGCGTTTTGGAATGGGCTTGTGTATGAAGTTTAAGCATTTGATCGAATCGTTGACTTGGGGTTTTAGATAATAGCCTTAGTTTTTGATTTGTTGAAATGGGTTTGTGTCAAAAGCTTCAATTTGTTTGATTCTTGATATTTTGTGTGTGTGTGTGGGAGGGGAACGTGGTGTTATCTGTTTTTTCTGTTCAGAGTATTGCTGTGTTTCTAAACTTGTATTTTTGTGCTCTAGATTAGAGATATGGGCGAGGGAGGTGTAGTAGTCCCAGAGTCGGTATTGAAGAAGCAGAAAAGGAATGAGGAGTGGGCTCTTGTAAAGAAGCAAGAGCTTGCAGTTGCCAAGAAAAAGAGTGTTGAGAATCGCAAACTTATCTATAACAGAGCTAAACAGTATGCGAAGGAGTACTCAGAGCAGGTAATTTATAAACTCAAATGTCTCAGAAAATGATGCTGATTTTTTCCCTCTATTAATGTGGTATTTAAGAGTTTGTGTTATGCATTTAGGAGAAGGAGTTGATCCGTTTGAAGCGCGAGGCACGATTGAAGGGAGGATTCTATGTTGATCCAGAGGCTAAGTTGCTCTTCATCATCAGAATCCGTGGGTAAGATGTTGCCTGATTGTTTAAATCAGGGATTTGATGAATTGATTCTTTTTTATTGACTGTCATTTTGAATTTTCAGGATTAACGCAATGCCCCCTCAGACAAAAAAGATTCTGCAGCTTCTCAGATTGCGACAGGTGAGTTATTGATGTTTCCTGTTTAATATATATAAAAATCCGTAAGGGGATGCTTATTCAAGTTTTTAGCTGGTTCTAAAAAATGATGATCTACTTTATGTATTATTGGATTATATTTTCCTTTCTCTAGTTTCCATGCCACTCTGTAACTTTAAGTGATTCAATCTGCTCAACTTGGATGTGGACTGCACCATTATTATGGTCAGTTACATGTTGTTTTCAGTCCGAAAGATTTAGAGTAGCATTTCAGCTTCCAATTTCATCTATTTACATCCATGCCAAGATAACCTTTGACATTCAACTTGGATGGAGGAGTTGATTCATTCATTTCATTTTCTAACATCTAGGCTTTACATTATTTAGTCGATTCATTCATTACACTTTCTTATCATGTAACCTTGCACATACTTTTATCTTTTACCCTGTGATAGTACATGATTGGACTGCCATTTTACTTGGTACATCTTTTACTTTTTGTGGTTACTTCATGATTTCCACTAGTGAGTTGTTACGAAGACTAAGTTGTGTTGTGAAAGGACATACCAATCTCTGTCCAGGCATTACAGCTATGCTCTTGTTTTAGATTGCTTGTTCTCTTTTCTTAGATCTTTTCTGAAGATGTGATGACTTGCCATTGAATTGCTTTTAAACTTTTGTACATGGAGTATTTTTTTGGTTTTCTCTATGTAAGTCTCTCTTATTGTTCTTGTTTTAGTACTTACCCTGCTCATTTTTGTCTGTCTAATGAGATGACTCTTTGCTATATGACAGATCTTCAACGGTGTCTTCTTGAAAGTTAACAAGGCCACCGTGAACATGCTGCATAGGGTTGAGCCATATGTTACATATGGGTATCATTCTATTTGTTTTCTAATGCGTTGTGTCTTTCTGAGGTTAATTTTGATTTTGGAGTTCTTCTATCTGTTATTGATTGATGAATCTCTTCAATTTTCCCAGCTATCCCAACTTGAAGAGTATTAAAGAATTGATCTACAAACGAGGTTATGGAAAGGTAGACAAGCAGAGAATTGCTTTGACCGACAATGCTGTTGTTGAGCAGGTTGGTGCAAAGTATATTTGTAATTCATTCATAGTGTCCTATCAAACCTCTCTTTAATATATAATATAAAACATAACACGTAGAATTGATTCCGAGAAGAACTTGGTTGTTGTAAATTCAAGAATTCCCCAAGCTTCAAACGAAAGGATACCCTAATCTCTACAGCTTTTTCATCACAATGTTCCCGTGTTGTAGGTGTTGGGCAAACATGGAATTATTTGCATCGAAGATCTCGTCCACGAGATCATCACTGTGGGACCACACTTCAAGGAGGCTAACAACTTCCTATGGCCTTTCCAACTCAAGGCACCTCTTGGTGGACTAAAAAAGAAGAGAAACCACTATGTTGAAGGCGGTGATGCTGGAAATCGCGAGAATTTCATCAATGAGCTCATCAGGAGGATGAACTAAAGCATCATCTCTCACTAAGCTACATTTTTGTTTCTTTAGAAGTTTGTTTTTTGTGTTTTGAACTGTTTGTAATATTGAACTAGACGCACGCATTTCTATCAGAGGTTAAAAAATAGTCTTTGGATTAAGTATACCAGTTGCCTCTGGTTTTCTCATTGTTCAATATTAAAATGGAAGTGTGCTTTGTTCAATTTATATTTATGGTTTCTGCCATTGGGTTTTGAACATTGATATTCTTACTCTGTTTCAATTTGTTTGTTTTTGACATGATACCCTGTATGAGAAAGTGCTTGAATCTTATATTTGACTGTGACAACGGCGTGTCAATAGCTGCTTGCACGAGACAGAACCTCATAAGTCTTCCCAAAATTGCCTATTTTGAAACACACCTTCAAATCTTGTTGTTCCACACCAGTTCTTTCACGACAATTTTGAAATCATGATTTCATATCGTGATATCAAATCATGATTTCAAATTCTAATTTCATATCACATGAACATGAGCCATAGAATGCTAAGCTGCTATCCCAATTACTATACAATAATCATTAAAAGGCTCAGATGTAAACTCACTGACATTATTATCTAAAAGAATTCTCTTAGTTGAATATTCTGAAAACTCTGCTTTTAATATTATTAATTGAGCTGATAACCTCACATATGTCATATTACGAATTGATAACAAGCAGACATGTGATCACCTTGTAGATATTAATTTATAAACTGGAAATACGTTAAAAAATGCACTTAAACTATATAAAATAAACAAAAAAATGCTTTCAATTGATAGTTTGGTCTAAGAATCTCCGTGTTTTCAATAGTTTGGTCCAAAAACCATATTGTTACTTAAGAAAATAATGTACTATATTTTACTAATTTTTTTTATTGTTATCTAAATAAAAATTAATGATGGGATTACAATATAAGTAATGTTGCACCATAGATATTTATCAAAGTAATTATGATCCGCCGATTCAAATAAATATAGAAAGTTTGATAAATATGAAAATAATTATAATTCATATAACATCGTGTCATTCTTTTACAAGAAATGTATGAATTTGAAACAAATCAATATACACACTCAATGATGTTATCACGTAGATAGAGTCATTCAACACATTAGTTTGAGTTCATCTTGAGAAGTACTAATGAGGGGCTTAATCATAGTCGCCCTTAAAGTTGTCCGCATATTTTACTTAGACACCTTAATTTAGTCTTGTAACTATTAAACACATAAATCTTAACAAATTTATACCTATTTTGACATAAAATCACAATTAATTGGAAAATAAATATGTGGGTATTTCAAACACCCGCAAATAACAAACATACCAATAAAATGATGACACATGACATTGGATTCAACTTTTAAAAAAACACTATTTAAATAATCCAAAATGAATTTTAAGAAAATAAAAATCTATTGTTTTGAATTAACCTCCCACACCGCATCTTCTTCTTCGAGACCTATTTCCATAGCCATTCTTGTAGTAGAAAGTATTATTTTCAATAGCTTTACGTGACTAAAGAGAGTATAGCACATGTTTTTTGACATGTCTGTGTCTTATAGAAATGATTTTTGAACAAATAAAGTGTTCAATAGACACAAAAATAGATTGAGATGTTCAAATAAAATATGCGGACAATTTTAAGGAGATGCATATGACTTAAGCCGAAAAGAAATATTTTAGAATAATGACATACGTTGAATTTGATAGGCTTAAATGAAGTATTATTTATTAATTATAGTTCATATTTTTTTAGTTCTATTACCGATGTTTTAAACTCATATATAGTACCATCGTAGTATATTATACTGGTTGAGGTTGGAATATATATATATATAATATGGTATACCTTATTGTTTAGTCAACGACATACATAAGTCAACATAATTTTGTGTATACTTTCATAATGAATTGTCATTATCATCACAATCTCCAATTGCTAGGACCAATATGGAAATTTCATTATGAGATAATCATTTTTTTTATATTTCATTAAATAATTATCAAGTTCCTTACCTTTTTTATTATGATGGAAAGATAATAAACATTATTCCTTTTTAAGCTAGTAATGGATGGAAACAATTTAATTAAGTATAGATTTTTTTAAAATTAAAGTCAAAGATCCTTAACTATTTCTCACAATATAAATAACACCATCACCATCTCACTTATCACAACAAATATACACATTAACTCTCAAATATTTGTACTAATATAAGCATGGGCATCAAGAGTGTTTCACTTCTTCTTTTTACGCTCCTTATACTTTTCATAGGTATTTTTAACCTACATTAATTAATTTTTTTATGTTATCTCAAATCATTTGCAATTTTCACATACTTTGGCATTTTAATTTTGGACCTAATATTTTAAAATTTCAATTGTTTTTTCATGATAAAAATCTAAATGTCAAATCGATCAAATTTGTATCTTACATCCATCTTTTCATAATTGTGCATCTATCATCTCGAAATTCTAAATACGTCTCTGTTTGTAGGTTGCAATAATATAGTCGATGCAGCTGGAAAGTGTTGTTTGGATCACCCAGATATAAGTCCATGTATAGCAGGGAAAGATGATAATCCAGAAAACGATGGCAAATGTTGGATATTTTGCATTGATTCATGTGAGCGTGGAGGAATTTGTAAAACAGTTGGACAAAAGACTTTATGTCATTGCACATGTTCTTAGTTTAATTTCTACAAAAAATTAAATATGAAAATTATATTTACATTTATTCATTAAAGGGCATTTTCGTCCTTTTCGTTGAATCATAGTGAATGCTTTATTTCTATAAAATATGTTTCTTTTTAATAGTATGAAGTTCGATGAATTTTCTGTTGAAATAAATTTAAATTTATTCCTCTTAAGGTAATTACGATAGGAGTTAGGAATTCAGTCAATAGAATTTGTTCCAAAATAATCATTCGACTAAAAAAAAAGAAAAAAATGGTCTATTGAATAAATCATCCTTTCTAAGTATTCATTTTTATTTTAATTTTTATGGTATATTATAAGATATGTGGGAATAATCATGTACCCAATAGTTATATGAGAAATATACATTGATAATTAGTTCAATCGGAGCTTCCATGCTCCCAAAATATTAGAAATATCAAAAATTTGGGATCGATTTATTTAAACATTGTCAAAGTGACTTTTTTTTTTTCCGTTGAAATCCACCGCATTTGTGAAGAACATGTTTGTAAAGAATAATCCTCTCAACAAAAAACTGTAACAATTGTGTGTACTAAAATGATCATTATTTTCTCATATGAATTTAGAATGTGACAATTCTTTTTGATATAATTTCAAAATTGCGATATGATATAATAGTTCAATCAAAGCTCAAGTGGAAGCTCATATTATTCTGGCAGTACTATAAAATTTCGCCTTCATAACGAACATTCGAGATTCATTCGAGATCACCCAAACACAAATCAATAGTATAAATCAATTATAATATATGTTTAAGATATGTCTGAATAATAAAGTCGCCCATCTGAGAGTGATTGTCTTGATAGAGTGTTGATCGTTGTCAACTCTAAGCTCTAAGAAATTTATAATTTCATCTAATGATTCAGAACACCCCCAAATGTCCCAGGAATCACACCAATCATTCAAGAAATTAAAATCACCCTCAATACTAAATAGAATTGTTAGTACTCAGACTCAACTTTGTTAACTCAAAATGTTGGCTTTGGTGAAACGTTTCAAATTTCTAGCTTTCAAAAATTGAAATCTCCACCAAACTTCACCGATCATCTCAAGAGTCGTACCATACATTCTCGCAAGTCGTAGATATTAAATAAAACATTTTATAAAAGACCGAACCCTCCCTAAAGAACTAGTCTAAATAGGTACATGGCATTCTAAAAATGTATAATTTATACGTGAAAATAAGGAAGCTGTTGGAGATCATCATCGTCTTCACCTATGAAACATCGCTGAACCTGCACCCAAACTACGACAAGTGGCATAACGAAGATTAGTATCACTACAAATACACCTATTTGTGTAAATAATTGCTTCATTTATAAATCTGACCCATTGGGTCTAGTTTGACTAAAAAAAAATTCACTACAAATACACGTTCTTGTAGGCATCATCGATCAATTTGAACCTACGACATAATTAAAATAGACATTCATAAATAGACATACAATATGAAAATTCCACCACCCCAGTCTTTATCCACTTGCTTTTACCATCCCTGGTATAACCCCCATAACTAGTATAATTGATTCCAACTTCCTTCCTCATTCCACTGCCAACTCCACACTTTAACATTTGACCCTCTTTCCATTCCAAGACTTTCCAAGCTTACCTACCAGATCTTAACCTAGCCCCTCTATCACATAAAGATTTTTTTAATTACAAGACCACTACTAACTCTGTTAACCAACCTACCAATCCTCCCTCAAGTTCTCATGCTAACACCCTGACAATTTCAGATCAGTACTTAAAACTGACACCTTAGACCAACTCATCCTTCTTGACTCAAATCCCAAACATCAGACATGCTCTAGACACTGAACAACCATAGCCATCCCCAACATTTAGATATACATTAGACCCTCGGTCATCTGCCTGACCTATTAATCACGACCTTGCCAAAAAAAAATCATACAATAATATCACAAGAAATATATAGCCCGGACTTCCGTCCTTACGCTAAGTTAACATTCACATGAAACATGTCCCATATGATCACATACCAGCCATGCCTGAGTCCAAATCATCTTCCAAGTAATCTAGACCACTCAAGGATCCAACACACATATATCACATAATAAAAGGTAAATTCGATTCACTCATGGAACCACAAATACACACCTGATCCTCTCAAGGGACCCACACTCAAACTATTAATGTACCCGCGCGATACTCGAGCCAATAAGAGTTAGTGTTTATATCAAGCATGACATCCAAGTCAATCGTTAGTATTTCTATATCGGCGTGGTACCCAAGCCAACCAACAATCACAAACAATCATGCACAAACACCATTACAATGAACAATGACACTTGAAATCCACAAGTAAAGTAAATAAGTTCATTGTATGAGATTATCAACATAATGTCATTGCATATCCTTTCCTATGATTTTCCTAACATGCATTACAAAAGTGATACCATGAAGCAGTAAATACGCTTACCTATATTAGACAACACACAACTATCACCTCTATCTCAATGGCCCGATACTGGACCCT